TGACAGCTCGGAGCCTGGAACCTGCTTTGGATTCTGTGTCTCCCTCTCTCTTTTCCCCTCCCCCACTTGCACGCTCTCAAAAATAAAATAAAACATTTGAAAAAAGCTTGAAAACCATCGCTGCAGTGAGGAGAACAGTGGCTTTTGGAGGCCCAGAAATGGAGGTGGGGAATTAGCGGCCTGCTGTCGCTGAGGGACGCCGGTGGCCGTCGCTGTGGATTCCGGGCATCTTTCAACTGGAGGCTTCCTGAGGCCGGGTGTAGGGTCCTGGGAGACAGCGGCAGGCACGGCTGAGCCAGCTCGGTGGCTGTGCTGGGGACACGGCCGCACTCGCGGTCCAGCCCCTCCGGCCCCACCGCAGAGGCAGGCGAAATAGTTATCACCCAGGCGCGTAATCGTGAGCCCTGCTGTGTGTTGAGCCCCTCCTCTGCCAGGCTCGGTGACCCCGCCGCATCCCCGTTATTATCTTGTGCGGCGGGTCTCCTCAGCCCCGTTCGGCAGGTGGGGGGGAAATGTCACTGGCAGGGGGTCTAGCCCGCCCCTCCAACGCAACAGCAAATCAGTGGCCCCTCCAGGGGATGCTTGGCAACGTCTGGAGACACCGTCGGCTGTCACAACTGGGAAGACGTGCTGTTGGCCCTCAGTGCCTAGGGCCCAGGATACACCATGCACAGGACCGCCCCCGACGCAAAGAATTGTCCAGCCCGGATGTCAGAGGTGCTGAGGTTGAAAAACCAGACTCTCCCTACCTTCCAGGGCCTTCTCAGAGACCACCCTCGGGGCTTGGCAGCCCCTGCCTGAAAGGGAAGTGAGCCCGTGCCACGTGCAAGGTGGCCGTGGGAGCAGACAGTGGTGGTGACAGTTCCCCGTGACGGAGGCTGGTTCCTGGAAACCTGAACATGGCATCCTTGTGGCTTTTCTTCTCCTTTTCAATCAGCCCCAGCATCTGAGCCACCACTCTCACCTGCAGAGGGTCCCCAAGGGCCAGATACGTCCCCAGCCCAGTAACCTGCTGAGAACCTTCCATGGCTTCCACGGCCCACGGGGCGGGGTCCTGGTCCTGCTCCTCTGGGCTCTGGGCACCACTGACCTCTCCAGTCTCCAGCCTCACCATTTCCCTCTTGCTGGCGGCCTCCTCTGCCCAGTCCGCCCATTCTGGCACGGGGGGGGGACGGGTATTGTTCCCCCAAATAGGCCATGCAGTCACGCCCCTGAGTCTCTGGCTCACCAGCGGCAGACTTGGGGCTTTGTTGATCCTCCCCAGGCTCTGCTTCCTTCCTCTTTCGGTCTGTTTTCTATCACGATGATTTCCCTTCTTTTACTTTCTTCTGTTTATCTTGCTGCTAACTTCTTGAGAGGGATGCTCAGAACATTCATTCTTAGTGTGTCTTCTTTTCTCATTTACAAATTCTAAGGCTACGAATTTCCCTCTAAGTATTACTTTAGCTGCACCCGTTAAGTTTTGATAGGCATTTTCTATGTCGTTCAGTTCAAAATGTTTTCTGACTTTCCCACTGTGGTTTTTCTCATTATCCCTTAGATTATTTATAAGTGTATTTCTTGGTCTCCCCGCCCATGTTTTTGAAACGGTCACTTCTGTCTTTCTGACAAGATGAACTGCTTGCTCTTCTTCCTCCCAAATCCAGTTTAAGTGACCCACTCCTCTGCAAAAGCCTTCCCTGGACACTCCTTCCACACCACTCCAGGCATATAATTAGTTGCCTCCCCTCTTTTCCCGTGGCACTTTGTACAGATCATCGTGTAACACTTGGTGAGCACACAGTGATATATCTGTCAGAGCTTTTCAGTTTCAAGTAAACTTAACTGACCCAAGCACAGCTTAACAAAGGGAACTTTTGTCTCATTTTAAAAGTCTGGCTTTCAGGCACAGCTGGATCAAGGGGTCCCTAATGCCCGATGATTCAATTCCTGCCATGGTCACTTCTTGTATGTTGACTCCATTCTATTCTGAGCAAGTTCTCACTGTACAAGAATATCTAAAAGTGAATAGCACATCCTCTGCTCCGAGCAGTCTTTACTGATCATTCCAATCAAAAGTTTCTTGAGATGCTCATTGGTTCTGACTGGGTCACCCTACCTAATAGGGTCAATGAACATGACCTGAAGAAAAGAATAGAGTGAATGCGACTTAGGACAGGGTCCTTTGATGCCCTCCTGGGAAGAAAGCACTGCAAAGCAAGGAGGAGGGTGGCATCTCAGAAAAAAATCAGGATACAATGCCAGGATACAATGTAACATTTCAATGCTGAAAAACCAAAAACAAAGGTGTCTTTGCCCATTACTAACAACAACTCCTAAAGGGCCCGACACACTTACATGCGATTATCCCAAGTGCCTTGTTTTCAGTCCTGTGTGTCCCTTCTGGACTTGAGACTCTCAACAGTGAAGAAGATCTGTTCTACCTACCTGAAAAAAAAATCAGCGATCAAGTTGGATGGTGTGGTGGGGGGGGGGTGGAGGCGGAAATGATAGAACTCCTCCTCTCCTTGATCAGCCCACCCCAGGACGGAGGCTGGCACCCTGAGCTGTGGGGAGGTTTCGGCCCAGGATCTGGGGAGGCTAAGCAGAGGCATCTGATGATACCCACTGGTAACTTTCTGTCTGACTGTTTGTAGTCGCTCGGGCTGCTGTGGCAAAAACACCGGACAAGGGTGGCTTTGCTGACAGACCGTCTTTCTGGTGCCGCAGAGCAAGAAAGAGCAAGAAAGAGAAGTGCTGGCTGATTCAATTCCTGGTGAGAACCCGCTCCCTCGTGTGCAGACAGCCACTTGCTTGCTGTGTCTTCGTGTGGTATTTCCTCCGTGCATGTGGAGAGAGGGCACAAGCTCACTGGTGGCTCTTCTGACGAGGACGCTAATCCGATTCTTCACGACTTCCTGGGTGGCCCCATCTCCAAAGACAGTGACAGCCAGGTTAGAGTTTACCTGGCAATTTTCTTGTGAGGGGGAGACCTGAACACGCGATTTGGTTTTATAGCACTTGTCTTCCAGGGTAAACCCTCCCACATCTTTCCAGAAATCAGAGTCATGTAGACACTCAACGTGAAAGGAGCCTTTATGGCCCTGTGGTCCAACCACACAATCAATCCAACCATATACCCACATCAACAGGTGGCCAAGCCTTGGTTTGCATACCACCAGAGACAGGAAGCTCACTGTCCCTCAGTGAGGCAACTCTGACTGCACTGGTCTGAGCCTGAAGGTCAGCTCTCATGTCTGCCACCCTGGATCGTCTCTTCTTCAAGCTCCATACCTCTGCTCGCTCATGGTTTTCAGACCCTCTCCACACCCCTTCCCCCACCCCCCACCCCCCACCCCCTGGCTTCTTGGTTCCTTCTCCTAAATATACTCCAATTTACCAATGTTCTTAAAATGAGGGCTCAGAACTGGACATAGGCTGCTGGTCTGGCCATTGTGGTGAGGATAACCTCCCTTACTCTGTGCTTCATACCTCTATTAATGCAATCCCAGGGGGCTTCAGGTTTCTCTGGGCCATGAGACACTCTTGAGTTGGGGAAAAGCCCCCAAGCACATGTTGCTTCAGTGATCCTAATCCTCATACCTGTGAAATTGACCGCTGGACCTAAAGTAAAGGGCATGGCACTCATCCTTGGTCAGTGGTTTTGGAAGGACCCCTGACTCACACCTCCATAGATTTTTTTTAATGCCTTCCCTTCTTGCTGTGCCCTTTCCCCAGCATGCAGGTACACTGTGACCTTCCTTCCTTGAATTTCCAAAATTGAATAGCTTTATTATTGTTCTAGAAGTAATACATCATTTAAAAAAATCAATACAGGGGCGCCTGGGTGGCGCAGTCGGTTAAGCGTCCGACTTCAGCCAGGTCACGATCTCGCGGTCCGTGAGTTCGAGCCCCGCGTCGGGCTCTGGGCTGATGGCTCAGAGCCTGGAGCCTGTTTCCGACTCTGTGTCTCCCTCTCTCTCTGCCCCTCCCCCGTTCATGCTCTGTCTCTCTCTCTCTCCCAAAAATAAATAAAAATGTTGAAAAAAAATTAAAAAAAAAAATCAATACAGAAAAGTACAAGAAAATTAGCCATAAAAACTGCCATGACCTACAAATAGCCTTGTTACCACTTGGAGATAGACTGTCCACGTTCCAATCCTGACTCCACTCCCTATGATCTGTGGTCACGGGCAAGTTGCTCAATCTCTGGTACCTCTGTTTCCCCCTGTCTAAAATGTGACTATTAATACGTGGTTAGGATAGCTTTACGCAGGGCCTGCTCCACGGTAAGCCCCTTAAAACTGTAAACAAGTTTGTTAGCTATGTTACTAATAATTGTAGAAACCAGGGCTGGCTCTGTCTCCCTGGAGAGCCCTGACTAATACAGATTAAGTCTGTCTCAGTCGGCTCAGGCTGCTAGAACAAAGCACGAAACGACAGAAACTGATGTCCTCCCGGTTCTGGAGGCTGGAAGTCTAAGATCACAGTGTCACCGTGGTCGTTTTCTGGGGAGGGCCCTCTTCCTTCCTGGTGCGTCCTCACACGGTGGAGAGAGGGAACCCTGGTGTCTCTTCTCGTTCTTCAAAGACCGCAGGCCTGTTGGCTCGGAGCTCTACGTTTACGATCTTCTCTGACTCTGACCTCCGGAAGGCCCTGTGTCCAGAGAGCATCACAGTGGGAGTTAGGACTTCAACATATGCGTTTGGGGGTGGGGTGGGGGGGAGGGAGACACGGTTCTGTCCGTCACGACAATATCAGTATATGTAGTGGCTATTGTCTTTGCACAGAATGTTGCACAGAATGACCCCGCACTGCCTCACCGCCTTCTTTTTGTGACAGCCGCAGAGATGGGCTGGCATTTACCCAGAGTCCCCCTCCCTCTGGCCACGGGCCCTGGTCCAGGGATTACCAGGTTACTCACGCTGAGCCACCATTGACCCCAGACTGGTGCGCAGATTGGCTTGTGAGGCAATCCAAGCCAATCAAAGAATTCCCTGGGACTTTTCTGGCAGGAGGCCATGGGAGCCATTGTTCCCCCCCGCTCTGACTGCCGGTGAGTTGGCAGTTCTGTTGAGCCCCGGCGGTATCCTGGGGCACCTCCTCCTTCTCTGCAGCACAGTCCCATTTTCGCTAAGCGTACTCGCTTTGGTTTTCTAGGACTGCCGCTGAAATAATTGTTGTCACTCACGGGCACTGAGGGATCGCATGTGATTTACTTTATTTTCCGGGATGTGACAGCGATTTTTAGTTGCCTACCCAGCATCAGCCTTGTCCTTCTTCTTCTTCAGTCTGTACAGACCCCGACAGCCGTCTAGCCATCAGTCTATGGCTCCACCCACCTCTGTGCCCACATCCACGTGCGTGTCTAAAATCTGTATCTGTGAGCACGAGCTCAAAGGTAGGCTCAGTTGCATATACAGAGCCCCAAACTGACAGTGGCCCAAGTAAGAGAGGTTCCTCCCCCTTGTCACAGTGTGGAGGTAGGCGTCCAAGGCTGAGTGGTGCTCCACAAGGTCACCCAGGGACCCATGCCGGCTGCTCTGCCCTCCCTAGGATTTTTGCCTTCATCTACATTGTCCAAGATGCCCACCACCACACCCACGCTCCAGGTAGCAAGAAAATGTGCTTTACTTATTTAATTTAATTTAATTTAATTTTATTTTATTCTTTTAAAAAAATTTTTCTTTGATGTGGTTATTTATTTTTGAGGCAGAGAGAAAGCACGAGCTGGGGAGGGGCAGAGAGCGAGGGAGATAGGAACCAAAGCCAGCTCCGCACTGACAGCACAGAGCCCGATGCGGGGCTCGGACTCACAAGCGATGAGATCATGACCTGAGCTGAAGTCAGACGCTTAGCTGGCTGAACCACCCAGGCACCCCTATTCTATTCTATTCTATTCTATTCTATTCTATTCTTTTCTTTTCTTTAAAAAAACTTTTTTTTTTTTTAAATTTTTTATCATTTATTTATTTTTGAGAAAGAGAGAGACAGAGCATGAACAGGAGAGGGTCAGAGAGACAGGGAGACACAGAATCTGAAACAGGCTCCAGGCTCTGAGCTGTCAGCACAGAGCCCGATGCGGGGCTCGAACTCACGGACCGCGAGATCATGACCTGAGCCGAAGTCGGCCGCTTAACCGACTGAGCCACCCAGGCGCCCCAAAAAAACTTTTTTTTAATGTTTATTTATTTTTGACAGAGACAGAAACAGAGTGTGAGTGGGGAGGGGCAGAGAGAGAGGGAGACCCAGAATCCAAAGCAGGCTCCAGCCTCTGAGCTGTCAGCACAGAGCCCAATGCAGGGCTCGAACTCATAAGCCGTGAGATCATGACCTGAGCTAAAGTCAGACGCTTAACCGACTGCGCCATCCAGGTGCCCCTGGGATATCCATTTCTATTATCATCAATGTTTATAGACAAATCATCCATTTTTAATATCTGCAGAGTATTCCGTTTTGTAGATGCTTTATAAATTATGAATTCAACCCTCTTTTCCTGGTTCATTTAGACTTTGTCGGTAGTTTTAATCGTACCTGGAATAACTTGCTTCACCAGTTTGGGCATACAAATAAGCTCCTTTGTCTTTTTGAGAGTCATTCAAGCTCCTCGTGTGGTTGGAAGTTGCCTTCAGAGGCTGTCATAAGGCCAACTCTGGTGGCTGAAACCCTTAAGGGTTTATTCTCCTGTGGAATGTGAAGCCTGGAGGCAAGTAGCTACTGACATTGGTGCACGGCCCGTGATATTAGGGCCAAGTTCTCTGTGATTCTCTTGGTCTTTTCCTTTGGTTCCAAAATGGCTGCTTGAGCACCAGCCATCACATCTACCCTTTAAGCAGGAGAAAGGAGGAAGGGAAAGAGAGAAGGGGTCAAGGGTGCTCTCAGAAGCTCCATCTGAACACTCTCATCGCTAGCTGCAACAGAGACTGGGGGGTAGTCTGTTAGCTGGGCACGTCGCTGTCCAGAATTACACCTTGGTTCTCATAGGAGAAAGAAGGGCATCGTGGGAGACTGGAGCCAACTGGTTGCTGCCATTTGCATCGTAGTAGGTGTCGGAGCCTCACCCTTACCCTCTCAGCTCTACACACTGAGGCATTCTTACTGCAAAAACCATCAACTCTCTGCCTCAGGGTTTATTTTTGGCTGCAGGTACACATGGTTAGCCATCTGGAAGTGCCAGAACTCTGCCTCAGGGAGCAACCCTGTACTCCTGGCAGACGGGGTCTTGGGTCTTCGTGAAGAAATAACCCGGCTTCCTTGTTCCACATCTGGGACACTTTGGAGGAACATTCTATTTGTCCTTCTTCCCTGCCCTGCCTCACTTCCCGACTCCCCTACAAGCGGTTCCTGGGACCGCCTCCCAAATCCACTACCTGCACCGAAAGCCTTAATTAGAAACTGTTTCTGGGGAACCCGACCAACACAGCCCTCATCCTCAAATAGCAGTCAATGTCATCAATGGCTGGGGGGGTCTGATCAGCCCACCAGAGAGCTTAATTTGAGGCATGGATTTACAAAATCCGAAAAGATTCTTATCATCTTCTTGAATGACACAGCTATGGGTCCAGAGCCTGATATAAACAAGGTGAGTCTCTGAAGGAGGATAATCCTATCCCTTCTGCATCGCTGATAACTGAGGGTACTATGTATTCATTTTGCCTTCATATTCAGCCACTGCTCTTGCAATGAACCCACTGTGTCAAGATAACTGGGTGAAAAGGGGGTTTCCAATCTCAGCCACATGTGTGTACAGCCCAGCCCTCCTGTAATGACCCTCTTGGATGTTGCCTTCTTGTGAGCTGAGCTCCCAGTGAAACGCCTCCTGCCCTTCGTTGGGTCTACTGTGACCCTCAGTAGACCATTTGAACCATCAGAGGAGCCCCACAATGCTGGGCCACAAAAGGGAATGGATGAGGAAGGAGGGATCTGAGAGAAAAAAATTTTTTTTTAATTTTTTTAACGTTTATTTATTTTGAGACAGAGAGAGACAGAGCATGAACGGAGGAGGGGCAGAGAGAGAGGGAGACACAGAACCGGAAGCAGGCTCCAGGCTCCGAGCCATCAGCCCAGAGCCCGACGCGGGGCTCGAACTCACGGACCGCGAGATTGTGACCTGAGCTGAAGTCGGACGCTTAACCGACTGAGCCACCCAGGTGCCCCTGAGAGAAAAATTTTAAAGACCTAAATAAATGGAGAGCTAGTCCACCTGCCTGAACTGGAAGACACAATATCTCCCCAAGTTGACCTACCGTCATCACGTTCCTTGTCAAATTCTCAGCAGGGAATTTTGCAGGAATTAACAAGCTGATCCTAATAACTTTTATGGAAATGCAAAGGACCTAGAGTAGCCGAAGCCATTCTGGAAAAGCAGGACAACGATGGACGATTTTCACTTCCCAATTCCCAAACTTAACTACGAGGCTCTCATCAAGACAATGCGGTAGTGGCATATGGATAGGCATAAAGAAATGAGACAGAGCAGAGAGTCCAGAAATAAACCCATACATGTAAGAGTGAATTAATTTTCAAAATAGGCACCAAGGTAATTCAGTGGGGAGAGGATAATCTTTTCAACATATCGTGCCGGGACTCTTGGGTAGCCACAGGCAAAAAAGACACATTTAGATCATTATCTCACACCACACACAAAAAGTAACTCAAAATGAATCATGGTTCTGAACATGAAAACTTAAACAGTAAAACTTATAGAAGACAACATGAAGGAGGTCTTTGTTGGGGGGTCTGGCTGGCTCAGCTGGTGGGGCACACCACTCTTGATCTCAGGGTTGTGAGTTCAAGCCTCATGTCGGGTAGGGGTCCTACTTAAAATAAAAAAAAAAGAATAATAATTTTAAAAAAGAAGATATCTGTTACCTCTCAGTCAAGTGTCCGACTTTGTTTTTTTTTTTTTAATTTT